GTCTATAAGAATGTATTAAAGTTCTGCCCAGAAAGAACCATATACAAATGCCTTAAAAAATAAATGCAGTTCTCTAGCTCCTAACTTTAATATTGTGGACTTGGAATTTTAAAGATGAAGCTATAAACTTCATAACCTATCTAGATCAGAACCATATTGATGTGACTTCATTAAAAACAAAACAAAACAAAAACAAACAAACAAACAAAAAGACAAAAAAAAAATACCAATCGTCTTCTATAACATGTGTGTAATGAAAGGGGAACTTATCCACATAAACCAGTCCTGGCCACATCTTAAACCAGTCCTGGCCACATCTGAAGCACTAGGCGTGTTTAAAGTTGAAATTATGGGAAAAACTATGACACTGTTTTTGGTCATGGCAGATTACCACCAGTAGCAATTCCACATTAGGGAGACGACATAAACATTTAATGGGAAGACATGGGTGGTATTTTTCTAAAGTGTCAGCTACTGGCAATTTTCACATTATCTTATAGACTGAAATCCTACAGTCTTATAGACTGAAATCCTACAGGCCTTTAATTAAAATTTCCTCCAACAACACAGAAATTATGACCATGCAAGAAGATGAAAAAAGGAAAATTACTCAGCAATAAACACCAAGAATTCCAATCCTTTTGAGTACTTCCTGCAGAAGTTATGCACCTTTTCAACTAAAGGACAGGACAGTAACACAAAGTGAACAGAAGAATATTATTTAGTAGTATTTTTTTCACCTTTTCTATGCAGTCATCAAAAAATGCCAAGCCAGTATCCTTGTCACTCACAAAACTGCACTCTTCAATAAAGCGGCTGAATATCTGTGTTTTGGTGAGATGCGTGTAGAACTTCGTATAGGCACGGTCTCTGCTTTTTAAAAATCCTGGTTATAAAACGGAACACACAACTAAATACCAGTCAACAGTTCCATAAGAAACTAACACATGAAATGCGTTAATAAACATAAATCACATCATCAATATAAATTACTTAAGATCCCAAAACACCAAGTATTTGCTTTATCAATAACAACAACTACTTATATCTACTATTTGCATTTGGAAGATTAAAATAACAGCATTTTTAATAGCTATTTTTTTAACATCCTTGGCAATCAATCACACTCATGTAATACCTTCTCACTCTGTTGGTTGACTCTTTGTGCAAGATAAAGAAGATGACCTTGTAAAAATCATCCAACAGCTAAAACAATACTAAAATAAAAATTATGTTTTTCTAAAAGGTGATTGAAATTTTCTAAAACTGAAAATTCTCAAAACGATTACTGAAAAATCTCTTCTCAAATCTCTAATCCAGTAATTAAAAAAAAAATAAATCAACAACCCCAAAAGAAGAAACAAAATCACAAACATGACCACAGACAAAACCCCTGTGACGTTTTATGTATTATCCATCAATATTGTTCATCATGAACAGATTTGAATAGTTAACAGTGATGAGGGAAGTGACATTTGCTGACTATTTATTGCATTGCCATATTTCTGACTTCTGCCCCATTCTCTACCATTTCTATCAAGACCAATACTTCACTCCTCATTACTGGGCTTTTAGCATTTTTGCATCATAAAAACTGAGAAATATTTTTTCATTCCCAAGAGATGCCCTTGCAGAATATGCCATAATGACAATATGAATGTGCCATACCTCATCCTATCAAAAAAAAAAGCTTTTTCTAACACTTCAGCTAGTGCAAACCTGTGGTTCTAAGTGTATGTATCTATGTTCCAATCAACTTTGAATAGCTTAACTTTAGAGAACTGCAATTTTAAATACTGCCAAGAACTGTACAACTGAAGGGAACTTTGACCTTTTAAAGTTATCCAGCTCTTCAACTCTAAAGTTGTAACACTGCTCAGGCTATCAGCAGCTTGTTTGCTGCATCCTCACCTTGATGATCAAACAAGGAATCAGCAGCAGTTGCTTTATTTGAAGGTGCCTGTGTGATTGGTTTGAGGAATGTTCTGTAACCCTTCAAAATAGATGCCATGAAACGGAGAAATGCTTCCTGGATCTCCATCTCAAGTTCTATCATCTTCTTCTGCCAGGAGAAATCTGCCTCTATTGGTGTCATTTCCACTGCAGAGCCTTCTTGAGTTTTCCTGTGAACTAGCAATGAGCAACACATACAAGCCTTTAATAAAAATTCAGTGCATTCAAATTCTTTTTCTATTTGCCCATGTTCATAAGGGATAAGCATTAGAAATCCTGCCAATTATTTTCCAATTGCCTTCCAATAAAAGGCAAGTTACCTCAAAAGTGTATTTTTCCAGCTCATGGAGCAGTCTGTGACATAAAACA